GGAAACACCGTGGAGGGGAGCTCATTTCAAAGCCGGATGGTACGTGTAAACAAGATCTCTGGAAACGCACTGTGGATGAACGCAGTGACCCCAGGTAATGATAGGAACAACGGATGAACTCTGCTCCGATCGTGGTCTCCTCAGCAAAAGGAATATTTTGTTGTAAATATTAATTTTGTTGAACATGTGATTTTAGATTTTTAAAAGCCTTCATTAATGTCGTAATTAACTATGTTTCCTTGTAAACATGTATTTAATGGATTAAAGAGAAATCGCATCGTTGAACACGCATCATTATTGAATTGTGTTATGTACTTATAATAACAATTCGACGTAGTACCGCATTGATACTGGATATCAATATTTTTAAATGTATTTAAAAAAAATCCGGCTTGTTTCAGGGCCAAATTCGTCATTAATGATTATATTTATTTATTAAATATATAATATTTACATATATTAATTCCAGACATGTATATATATTTTACATATATTTACTACTATATAAATATATATTACGAACAACACACACACTCGTGAACACACTCCGAATTTCGCATTAATACATTTTGAAATTAAGTGCTAAGTGTGTCTCGAACCTGCGACTCTTGCTTAATACCGCTGAGCAACGCGCGCTTCGAACACAAGTGTTGTCATAACAATAAAATTGTAGAGCGTATTTTGTTTGTGGAAAATATGTGTAGCCACATTAAAATTCTTAATTCACACCACCATTTTTATTCCAATGTCTATTTTAAATCCAAAATTCCAATTTTTAAATATCAAAAGTGTTTCTGTATTTATGTTCTTCTCGTATATTTTTTAAAAAGATGCGATCGTTTTTCGAAGTGCCCAGCCGTTTGTGCGTAAGTCAAAATTACTCATTTATACACGACAGGCACTTACTTATAAAAATGTTTGCATGATTTTTGGTTTGAATTAAAAAAAAAAAGTAACACAGAAATTTGTTTACCTTTATCGTCAGCAGCCACAAAAAAAAAAACAAAATTAAGTACTGCTTGTGAACACACGCGATTTTTATTGAAAATCAGTCGCCACTAGCGACTGTCGCGGCGAACGAAAGACGACTGAAAGATCTAAGGCTTTGTCGCGACTCGCGTCACGCTACGGACATCGAACGCATGAACGGGTTGAGATGCGGACTCGTGTAGATTTCTCCAAATCACTACGGAGATTGTGCGTGCGTAATTGCGTCCGCTAGTTTGGACGCATATTTTACGATTTATGACCAACATCAGTTTTACATTTTTGGTCTTAGAGAGTTTGCAGTTGACTTGAATCGCAAGTTTTTTTTTTTTTTATTATTGAAGTGTTACTGGTGGCCTGGAGGCCTTTCCAGTTTCACCAGGACAGGTGGGCGAGCAAAGGCTCAGCCAGGAGGGGTGGGATTTGCTAACAGCTACCCGAGCGCCTCCGAAGGAGACCTAACAGCTCAAGAGTAGCTGCTTCGCGAATGAATCTACTACCGGATCGGAATCGCGACCCGCTGAGAAGATCCGGCGAGAAACTCAGCGAGCTGATTCATGGGTTAGGTTGCACGGCGAACTCTTTGTCGAGTTCGACGAGTACGGTTACCGTGAATCGCAAGTGCAATTAGCAAATTTATAAACAAACTAGCTGACCCGGCAAACGTTGCTTTGCCATATATAAGATTTCTAGGGAATTTCTAGTGTAGAAAAAAAACTAACTTATTGTAAGTGTGTAAGGATGTGGTAAATTAGTGAAAGAGGTATGTAACGCCGTGAACGATGAGGGAATATAAAAATAACAAAACCTCATTCAACCATTATAACAAATTCCTCATTCAAAGACATCCTCAAAAGCTTCATTATAACAAAAAAAAATACCCAAAAATTAAAAATTAATGTTAGGGGTGGACAACTCTTATCACTTAGGGGTATGAAAAATAGATAGAAGCCGATTCTCAGACCTACTGAACATGCATATAAAATTTCATAAAAATCGGTCAAACCGTTTCGGAGCAGTATGGTAATTAACATTGTGACACGAGAATTTTATATAAACTAGTAAGTTACAGTAAAGAATTGTTCCAAAATTTTCGTAGGTATCTATCTACATTATCAACACTTATATTTAATACGTTGCAAGAGCTATCATCACGGGTCGACCTAAAGGGTTTTTTTCCCTACGTGTCTGCCAGTCTGGACACGAGACTGAGCGAGACACTTCGCTGTGCCACTGAGCGACAAATGTAAGTGGCTACAGATCACAAGACAAGGTTTTTTGGACGAAGGCATCACTGATGACCCGGAGGCCTATCCAGTTTGACCAGGATGGGTGGGCGAGCAGATTAAGAGCAAGAAAAGGCCTTAGGCGGGCGCACGGACATCACTTCTCCCCCTCTCAAAATCCCCCCAACAGCATACTCACTCCTGCCCTGTGTGGCAGGGAGCTTCTGCCCGGATAGTGGGGTTCGCCCTGAAGCCCGTTCCGTGCCTCCGTAAGGGGCTACGACGACCCCAGTAAGTAACACGATGTTCAGTAACGAGCGAATAATTAGAGGAGGAGGAGGAGGCAGTCAGTAACGTCGAAGGGCTATCGGGGTTCTGCCTTGCTTGGTGGGCGAGTTTATGGGGCTCAGCCTTTTTTTTGGGTATCGATGGGGAATCCCTGTTTTTACGGATACCCTGCCGACGGGGGTCGGACCGGGTTATGTCGGACTCCGCGCCTCCAGTGGAAAACCGAGAGAGATCCGGATGCCACGTGGCCGCACCGATAGCAGTCGTGACTGCGGTCAACCGACGACGGGCACAGGGCGCCCTCCAGCCTGAAAGAATTGAACGATAGCACCGAATTATCGGAGACTACTTGAATGTAAAAATTGTGGCAGGAACTCGTTAAATAAATACGGCGGCGTAAAATATAAATATAATTGTTTTATTGCCATGAGTGAATGAGGTCGCAGACCATTAGGACAATTGCTTGTTGTTTTATTGTGACTTAAATTTTAGTGTGAGAGTTTCACGTACCAGTAGTGTTGCGAGAATATAATATAATTTAAATTGTAAATAGACCGCTTTAACAAAAACCGACTTCAAATAGAAAAAAAAAAGATATTCCAAAACAAATTAATATACACTAAAAACAATAATCATCGAAATCGGTTGGCGTGATATTGAGTTATTGAGTTATTCATATATTTTTCGGGCACGTACTTAATGCAAATTTAATACTTATATGGTTTTCTCATGGATACCATTATCAGAAATGGACTAAATTGAAATGGGACCACTCAGCTTTCTAATAAAAAAAAGAATCATCAAAATCGATTCACCCAGTCAAAGGTTGTGAGGTAACAAACTTAAAAAAAACATACAGTCGAATTGAGAACCTCCTCATTTTTTGAAGTCAGTTAGAAAATGAAAATAAGTGCGCTGAATTCACGATCCAGAAGTTATTTTATAATATTTAGATTACAAGCTTAAGTGCGTTAAATTTTTTATTGATAAATTTTATATATAAGCTTAAAAACAAAAAAAAATACACTTAAATAATAAATCAAACTAATAACTCATTTATTTCACTTTTTTATCGTGATCTGGTCAGAATGTTAGAGCGTAGCTGTAAAATTATTATGTCGTCATCGATACATGATACCTTTGCAAAATTTCAAGTTACTTGGATCTTGTATTGTTGAAAATAAGATTTCAATTATATCGTTACGTTTAAATAAACACATACAAACCAAAGTAATTATTATTATTAACACTTTATTTCATTTTTTTTTTTTTTAAACCATAACATTTTGTTAGTATTAATTACTTATAATCTATGTTAGTAACTTAAAAAAAAAAAATCTAACACATAACTATCATTATATACATTTTATACCATTATATTTTTTTTTCTTCTCCTTCCAAGTGCCTACTGCAAAGGCTATTGATCAGCAGTCCCTCGATCTTGCTCGATATGATTCTCAAAAGACTATATTAAGACTGTAATAAGAGTATATTAAAAATGTGAATTTATTTGAACTAGAGGTACCGCAGTAGTCGAAATTCGACTATAATTAATTGGAATTGTAAGTTTGTACACTATTATGATTGTATTTTATACTTCTATAATCACAAATTTCGCCAAGACTACACTATAAAAAATATTAACAAAGACAAACTATATTCTATTCTCAATTTGACAACAGACGTCAAGAACAAAAGTTTGATAATAAATAGGATGCATACGTGCGTCAAATAGTGTGCTAGGTATGTAGTGTGTGTAATGTTTTCTTTATTGATTTAATGTATCTTTTATGCATTATTTTCAAAAAATATTAGCATTGTGCACTTCTTCTCTATATTCTCTATAAGTGTGGAAAATTTCATACTCCTCCGTCCGCGCAATTTTCTTAAAAAGGGATACAAAGTTTTTGCTTCACGTATTAATATATAGATTCCTCAACTTCTATTGCGAGCAATACTTTATAGTTTCTGTCGTCGTAGAAAAGCTAAGCCCTGAACCGTTTTTTTAGTTTAAATCATAACCATTCATATTTTAACTAAACAATAACTGAAATCGGTTTAGGTTTTATACGATACAAATATTAGAAACGACATACATAGGAACAAACTGGTGGTAGGAACTCTTCAGTCCGCACGGGTGGGTACCAGCACCCCGCCTATTTCTGTCGTGAAGCAGTAATGCGTTTCGGTTTGAAGGGAGGGGCAGCCGTTGTAACTATACTTGACACCTTAGAACTTATATCTCAAGGTGGGTGGCGCATTTACGTTGTAGATGTCTATGGGCTCCAGTAACCACTTAGCACCAGGTGGGCTGTGAGCTTGTCCACCCATCTTAGCAATAAAAAATTATAAATATAAATTTTTAAATTATAATTATTTAATTACGTAATTATAAATACGGCTCGCGAAAACCGAATAAAATAATAACAGCATAAGATAAAAATAAAACTAGAAAAAAATAAAATAACAAACATTATACCAGACTCATTTATTAAAAATTCAAAGGCCCTTTAACAATCGCTCCTCGCCTAACTTATTTCCCACATTTAAATCGTTCGCTTTCCTCTCCTTTCTAACTCTGTAGCTCTGAACGTAGAATTTCATGAACAATAAGAAAAAGGAACAAATAAGTGACACGCAGAAGTAATGGAAAAACGTTGGTAGAGGACAAGGTGTCAACTTCTGCTGGTAGTGCAGGTGAGAAGTAACTAAGACGAACTGCACCTGAAAATTTTAGTTTATTATTAAACTAGCTTTTGCCCGCGACTTCGTTCGCGTGGAATCGTTCACAAATAATGCTTTATTTTAGAACAAATTTGGTTAGCAAAAAACCCGTAATACATTATTTTAGCGAAATTTTAACCCTTCCTCAGCGCACGCAGCGGGAGCTCTCAAAAGGGAAAAATACCCGATTTTGAAACATTCTTTATTGGTGCTCCGCTTGTATTGGTCTTAGTGTCATGTTATATAGCCTATAGCCTTCCTATATAAATAGGCTATCTATTTTTTTTTTTATTGCCCTTTTAGGAAGACGAGCATACAGCCCACCTGATGGTGAGTGGTTACCGTCGCCCATGGACTTCAGCAATGCCAGGGGCAGAGCCAAGCCGCTGCCTACCGAACACTAAAAGAATTTTTCTGCTCTGTTCTGTGATTTTGGCGATCTCTCCAATTTTACACCCATTACTCTCGACGGAGCACCTTTGCCAGTACGTCAAGACTTTCGATACCTAGGATCTGTTATCCAAAGCAACGGCGAACAGGAGCGTACTATGAATTGACACAGGATGGATGAATTGCGGCAGGTCACGGGCACCACATGTGACTAGTACAGTGTACTAGTGCACATGTGAAAATACTAGTTTTTTTAACCTCTAACCTTAACTGACTTAGGAATCCTGAACCACCTTATATTACCAATAAGAGTCTCCGAAGAATAAATATATCAGTTGCCGGATATACAAACTTACCAGTTGCACTTTAGTCAAATGTTTCTTCCACCAAACAAACTTAGCATACTTCGGGCCCAAAGACGATATCCCATAATAAGCATACATCAGCACATGAACGAAGCTATTCAACATGCCGACCACCACAAAGTGATCTGTGGGATGGTACATTAAATGGAGCCAGGTCCAAGTCACCATGGTGTTGTGGTGGTAAAGATGAAGGAAAGTCACTTGGTTGTCTTTCTTTCTTAGAACGAAGAATACAGTATCTAGTAGATCAAGGTGCTTTGCTATGAAATATGGATAGATTTCTTTGATAACCTGAAACAAACATAATTGTGTTCTTGAATTATCACCATGGCAATAAACAAGTGGCAAACTTCAGAATCATTTTCAAATTTTGTAGGTAACGGCTTGGTTCTGCCCCTGGCATTGCTGAAGTCCATGGGCGACGGTAACCACTCACCATCAGGTGGGCCGTATGCTCGTCTGCCTAAAAGGGCAATAAAAAATAAATAAATAAAAAACTGTTAAAGAGGGACACGTCATTGAGCTTAATACTAAGCGGTTTGTTAGAGATTATTTCTAGAGTTTGATGGCACTCAAAACAAAATGTCTGGAAACGCATTATACATGAGTGCAATTATACAAAATACTTTAGAGTATTACTCCATTGCCGGGTGTTGCGCTACTAAAAGGATACGACAGAACCATATCAAACGAAACTACAAACCATTGAACATTATCATTTTGTTTTTTATGTAGTTGTTACCGGAACCCATACACATCTACAACGTAGGTAAATGCCGCCACCCTCCTTGAGATATGAATTCTAAAGTCTCAATATAGTTACAACGGCTACCCACCCTTCAAACCGATACGCATTACTGCTTCGTGGTTGAAATAGGCGGGGTGGTGGTGCCTAACCTTGCGTATTCGCAAGAGGTTCTATCACCAGACATCATCATGATCGGCCCGCAGAAGTCCACTGCTAGACATAGGCCTATCCCAAAGTACAGCAAAACGACCGGTATAGTGCAGCCTGCATCCAGCGGACTCCCACAACCTTTAATTGGAAGACCAAAATAATCGATATGGCCTGAAGGCTTGCAAGATTGAAGCAGGCTAAGCAGATTACCCGAGCGACGACCCCGAATCTGAAAACGGTGCGTGGATTGGTCTTCCACGAGGTGAACTGGCGACTTGCTAAGCCATTGGACCTGGATTACTGAACTCACTCCGCAAGTTCAATCGTTTCAAGAATTCTGTGACACCAGGATTATCTTTATGATAATAAGTAAGATTGATTTTTGATCGTAAATAATACATTGAGATTGACGCTTCCTACTGTCAGATTGTAAAATGGACATCAAAGTTATTATACTACTCCAGCCAGCACACTTGGAAGGTAAAACTAAGCATATTTTACTAACCGCTTGTAAATCTTCACCTTTGGGACATCTTTTTGTAATCACACCGTATCTTAGAATATACCTGGAATACTGTAAAAATAGTAAAATTTACAACACTATCAAAATTGTCTTGGATGGGATCACTGGATATTTAATTTTCTAAGCAGAAAGAAAGACTATCTGGTCACCAATAGTTGCCGGAAATAAAACATATACATATTATTATGTCGCTACCATCTTAATAAATAAAGTTGAATTCTCAAACTGGAAGAAAAGGCAGTAACTACAGTTTATAGACAGTTTCTATGTTTCTATACGTGGCTCCTGTTTGAAAAAACAGAGCAATCTGGCAATGCAACCCGCTATTTTGTATCTTAAGGAAATTAGGTACATTAAGTATTTCCTTTGTGTTACATTTTATTTTTTAAAAGCCTTCATATACATTTGATAGGTAAAAATACCAGGATAAAAAATAACATAACGGTTCTTATAACACACAGCTTGAAAGGTGTGAAGTGGTTTTTTTTTTAAGCTCGTGTTCCTGTTCATTAAATAATTGCAATATCATCTTCATAGCGATGGATAATAATTTATAGTCAATTGATCGTATAGTATAAAGCAAAATATTTGTCTTCGAGGAATAAACATTAGAATTAGTCGGTATGCAATTATAGCTAGTCATATTTCCTGTTGATTGAGAATTAAAGGAACCTATAAACATCACAATGCGCATAACGATTGTCTCATTCTTCACATCGGAACGAATTACTTCTTCGCTGCAGAAATAAACAGAAATAGAATATTGTACTCATTAAATCTCACGACTACTAAGATGAATATTTATCATCAAAATCTGCAAACTGAAATATACTCACAATAAAAACCAAATAAGCAGAGAAAGCGACTTGAAAGCAGTTGTAAAACAAAAGCAAACTCTTCAGTTTGTAAGGTTCGCGTTGCTTCATGAACGACGGTAGTATTTTTACGACTAAAGCCAAGTAGACAGACAGGACTATGGCCAGGCCAAATATGGTCTCTGATAATGACCATGTTTGGATAACGCGATCTGAAAAAGAAAATTTGAACAATGCATATGTAGACATTAAAAATTAGTGTTAATTACGTTGTAAATGTCTATGGGCTCCACCACGTAACACCAGGTGGGCTGTGAGCTCGTCCACCCATCTAAGCAATAAAAAATAAAAACTGATACCCATTATAAAAAAGAGTCGACAATTCAAGTTAAGTTTCATCATAACGAAGTAAAAGTAATAAAAAAATGCAAACTGATGTTATTAATTTCAACTTACTACCATTTTGATAGTTCACAAGATCTTCCAATATCACTTCATAGCCCATTGCTATTTCAAGCCCAAAACACGAGTCTAAGCTTCTCCAATTCACTATATCAACTGATCGATGCTAAGTCAGGATAGCTTAGGTTTAATTGAATAGAAAATGAATTGGGGCATACGAAAATAGTTGATTGAGGATTGTATTCAAATGTAACCTAAATTTATTTGCTGTCATTGTCCGGAATACGGGGATATAACGTTATTTGTGTTTTAGTAACATAAGTTAACCGTTCATTACTCATAGATACAGCCCACTGAGTTTCTCGCCTGATCTTTTGGGTCGCGATTCGGATCCGGTGGTAGATTCTGCGAAGCACTACTCGTGCTAGGGCTAGTGTTAGCAAATTCTCTCAGGTTTTTTTTTTAATTTTTTTATTTTATTGCTTAGGTGCGTGGACGAACTCACAGCCCACCTGGTTTTTAAGTGGTTACTAGAGCCCATAGACATCTACAACGTAAATGCGCCACCCACCTTGAGATATGAGTTCTAAGGTCTCAGTATAGTTACAACAGCGGCCCCACCCTTCAAATCGAAATGCATTACTGCTTCACGGTAGAAATAGGCAGGATGGTGGTACCTGCCCGTGCGGACTCACAAGAAGTCCTACCACCAGTTTGAGCCCGTAAGCTCACTTACCCGTCCGGGCTGGAATAGTTCCTTAAGCTACAAGCTAATAAGTAATAATCGTCAATCCAAGAATTACAATCGCCTTCGCACGGAAAGATACCTGCAAGACACCCGCCGCTGACCGAAGACACGATCGATAGACTCATTGTTGCAACCGTCAGCAAAGTGTGAGTTTAATCAATTATTGATTTACTGTCATTTTATTAGAACGAAGTTCCTTATGGGACGATGCGAAGGGGTACCCTAACCGGGAAAAAACGTCCGTAACGTAAGATTTTTATTATTTATGTATAGTCTTAGTATGATGGTTATACAATGTCTAATGTATAGTCTACGTGATGACGGTTATTATTATTATTCATATAAATAGCTGTTTCTTTGTATATTATTATTATATATTTTATAATTATGAATCATTGTGAATAAAATAAAGTTGATAACTTTGTAAAGTAGTTTTATTTTTATTAATTAAAAAATAATGATAAAAAATGTATACCCGAATAATTATTTTCTTTATATACCTCGAATAGAACTTAAAATTAATATATTTATAATAAGGAACTTCGTTCATATCCGGTGTCCTATGACACCACACATATTTTTTATATTTTATAAACAGCCGATTAAATCGATTGGTCCACTTCCAGTAGACAAAACGATCTTTCGTAATGAAATATGAATGAAATTTTACCAAGATAAATGAACCAGTCTCACCTACAGTAAGTTTTAGTAACGAGAATTTTAATTGTCATCGACCGAATGGTTCAGTAACTCTGTGCCATATAGATAGATAAATATTCAAAGCCTGGCCTTCAATTCAAGCAAATACGTTCATAATACAATGAAAATTTGCTACATTTATGTATTTGCGTGTTATACATACCCGATCCTGCGGACCGAATGGTAAACAGTCGAGGTCGCCCAAAACACGTCATCTCGGATCCTTCCGATCCACTAACAGTGCTTTTAGGTACCCCAAGTACCGGTCAATATCCTCGTCGAAACCGTCGCTTGCGACGAAGGGCTCGGCTAGTAAATTAGCCCACAGACACAGCCCACTGAGTTTCTCGCCGGATCTTCTCAGTGGGTCGCGTTTCCGATCCGGTGGTAGATTCTGCGAAGCCCGGCTCTTGCTAGGGTTCGTGCTAGTAACATCGTCAGATTTGAGCCCCTGATATGACGCTGATATGATCTCCCTGGAACATCATCAGCAATTTCTTCGGTTTTCACGATTCGTAAATACAATTACAACTATTATACTTTTACGATTCGATCTCACGTTTTTATTATGTCATTATATTATTTCCGACACTTCGAATACTTTACTAAAGACTAAGGTGTTATTCATCGACATTAGAATATTGTGCTGACTAACCTTTTTATGGAATGAGCTCCCCGGCTATGGAATGAGCTCCCCTCCACGGTGTTTCCTGAGCGCTATGACATGTCCTTCTTTAAAAGAGGCTTGTGGAGAGTATTAAGCGGTAGGCAGCGGCTTGGCTCTGCCCCTGGCATTGCTGAAGTCCATGGGCGACGGTAACCACTCACCATCAGGTGGGCCGTATGCTCGTCTACCTACAATAAAAAAAAATATATAAAACTTATAGACTTTCTGTGTGAAACGAAGCGTAAATGTAGTTTGATGTAAATGAAATTTGTAAGAAGACTGTATATTTAATAGGTAATTAAATAAATCATGTCATCATATCGAGGAGTGAAAGGACATTTCACTTAATTCGCGACGTTTATCTTTGTAATTAAAAGTGCGTTTTATTTGGTATTAGCATAAACAGTTCGATGTTTTTATGAACTTCAATTATTTTTACTCCATTGAAATAGCTGAAGAAGTTTTTTTGTCAGGATATTTTTTTCAAATGTTACCTAAACTAATTTATAACTCCTGTAAACTTGCAAAAATGTCGTTTAAACCAAATGGCCTTTCAAACCTCGATATAATATGAGTATCTATGAGAGAGAGGCTTGGAAAGTTCGCCGAAAAATACGAATGAAACATTAACATTTAAACTACACGAAAAGAAAATAATTAATTTTTTAATGAAGAAGTAAAAATAAATCTTGTAGTAATCAGAGGCACAGGAAACTACCTGACATTACTGCGAATCACTATACCTAATTTACAATACCATTAATTGTGCTTCATTACAAATAATGTATTGATTTTTATTTTGAATTGTAACTATAGTTTGTTGCTCATTAATATAAAACAGTTTGTTAAATATAGCCTTGATTAACGGGACTGTTAGCAGAGTGATATTTTCAGGGATAAGTTACGTTCAAGAATATCAATAATGGATGGATGAGCAAAAGCCCTCCCACGCGGTGGACCAGCGGGAACCTTGGGGGAGGCCTATGTCCAGAAACGGAAGTCCGCGGGCCGATCATGATGATGCTAATCTTCAATAGTTTGAAGTATTGTTTGATATGGTATCGTATTTCTTTAGTAGGCCAACACCCCTCACTTGGGCCATACTCTAAAGTACTTTGTACAATTGCGCTCATGCACAATGCGTTTCCAGATACTTTGTTCTGCGAGTCATCAAACTCTAGAACTAATCTCTAACTAAGCTTGTAGTATTAAGCGCCATGACGTGTCCCACTTTAAAATAGATTTGAAATTGTCCATGTATGTAGCGTCCGTGTGCAATTATTACCCTAGCGCCCTTTAGTAAGCGCGGGGTCAGAATGAAATAGGTACAAATGTAGGTAATAGATTCATTGAAGGGGCTCAGGCTGGCGCCCCCTATCACCGCTGCTCCTATAGGTAATAGGCATTTGTCTTGTTGTTGTCGCTGAATGTTATTGCTAATATTTTTCAAACAGGCTCCGAATCGATTTCAATATTTTTTTTAATATAGCGATTTTTTAAACACTGATTGTGGAATTACATAATCTGATAACAATTTCTCATGTGTTCCGAAAACTGATTCTTACTAAAGTATTTAAATTTTGGTATTTGCTACACTATTTTGTAAAAGGAATCAACATTCAGAACCTTCTGTGTTCATTCGCGAAGCAGCTACTATTGAGTTGTTAGGCCTTCTTCGGAGACGCTCGGGCAGCTATTAGCAAATCCCACCCCTCCTGACTGAGCCTTGCTCGCCCACCTGTCCTGGTGAAACTGGAAAGGCCTCCGGGCCACCAGTAATAATTCAATCATAAAAAAATTGTAATTACCGCCAACAACGGTATGACTGAAGTTCTTTTAGCGCTTTAATCTATGTGGTCACTGGAACTTTAATGATATAATGAATATTCAGCCCCTTCAAAAGAAACGAATGAATTGATGCTCAAAAAAATAGGACACCTCTGGTAACCAGTTGACACCAGTGTACTTAGTGCGAGTTTTTTAACGTCAACGATAGCGTAAAACTTAACCCAATTTTGTATGCAGTTGGAACAGCGCCCCTAGCGGCAAAGGTTTTTTTTTATTGCCCTTGTAGGCAGACGAGCGCACGGCCCACCTGATGGTGAGTGGTTACCCTCGCCCGTGGACTTCAGCAATGCCAGCGGCAGACCCAAGCCGCTGCCTACCGCTGAATACTCTCCACAAGCCTCGTTTGAAGAAGGACATGTCATAGCGCTCGGGAAACACCGTAGGCAAACGATCCCATTTCATACAAATATGAGCTAACTTTTACGCTATCGAGAACGTTAAAAAACTCGCACTAAGCACACAGATAGACTCAGCTTGATCATTCATTCAGAAAAATAAAATAAAAATCACGGATGTGTCTTAACAAGGTCATTGCCATCATTTACGACCCGCAAACTGTGAAACTCGACCCGCGCCCGAAATTGCGGAGTAAATTTTGTATTAGCCAATTTTCGAACCTTGAAATTATTGCTAATAACTCTCCTTAGTTTTATATATCGCGAAATCCTGTTACTTTTTAGCTGCTTCTTGTTTTGCTGAATTACAACAAAATAATTATGTATAGGGTGTTTTTTTTATTTATTTTTTACCACCACCCGCCTATTTCTGCCGTGAAGGAGTAATGCGTTTCAGTTTGAAGGGTGGGGCAGCCGCTGTAACTATACTGAGACCTTAGAACTTGTATCTCAAGGTGGGTGGCGCATTTACGTTGTAGATGTCTATGGGTTTCAGTAACCACTTAACACCATGTGGGCTGTGAGCTCGTCCACCCAACTAAGCAATAAAAAAAATAAAAATATATTTACTTTTTTATTACTTCACTGAGTGAATTAGCTCATAACCCACCTAGTGTTAAGTATTCACCGAAGTCCGGAAAATATGAATGGCGCCACCCACATTGAGTTATGAGGCCGAAGTCTCAACTGAACTGCATTACAGTTATCACGCCCTTTTATTCGGAATGCATTATTGCTGCGCGGCTCTCCACGATTTGCAAGAGAAATAAATTGTCTCTTCATAATACTAAAAAACTTGCATGCGTTCTGTCGTGACCTATGCAAGTGTAGTGTTCGCTCATGCAGCCCGTACACACATTAACTCTCTCCAAGTCATCCAATTCCGTTTCTAGAGGATAGCCGTCGGAGCACCTTGTTATGTGAAGAATGTTGATCTTCATGACGGCCTAAAATTAGTTTCTATCAGTAAGTATTTTAAGGATTACAGGACTTATGAAAACGAAGAGCTCGACAACTTGCCATAGATACAGTCCACTGAATTTCTCAGTGGGTCGCGATTTCGATCTGATGGTAGAATCAGCGAAGCACTGCTCTTGCTAGAGTCAGTGTCGGTAATTCTCTCAAGTTGAGCCCATGAGCTCACCTACGCTCCGTAAGTAGTTGGATAGCCCCGTAGGTTACCAACGATAGGGAAATAGGCAAAATAAATAATAGTTTAAAAAAACTAAAAAACACGTAAAAAAAGCGTAGGGTGCTTTTTAAGATATTATTGAAATAATAATTATTCTTCTACTCATATCGGTCAGAAAAATATTTATAACTAATAACACCATAAATCTACAAAGCTTAAATGGAATCTGGCCGTTTAAAGTGTGTCAACACTCAAAATCGCGTCTAAAGGAGTCCGTTACAAACATACAAACTATTACAAACATACATACAAGTGAAGCTAATACAAAGCGTGTAAAAAAGCTACGCGGTCATCCGATCACATTATCAAAGACAATGTAGTATC